CAATCAGAAGACAGCTTCCTCAAGCCCCCATCACATCTACCCACCTTCTACCTACACCTATGCCCAAATATTCTGGGTTTCCTGCAATTACAGTTGAAAAACTGCCCCAGCCCCTGGCAGTGGGCAATCGCTCCATCTGTACAAACGATTCCATCACCTCATGTGGACCAAAGAACACAGATCCAGCAAATCTCACCTCTTCTCACATTATTTTTGACCTCTTTTCTGGATCTTTCTATCAACAGATAAACATGCAATCACTTCTCCCATGTTTAAAAAATATGTTTTGACCCACTTCCTCCACCAGCCCATTATTCTCCTTCCCTTTATAAACAAAATTCCTCAATATTAATAGTTGTTTATACTTTCTGTCTCAAATGTCTCTCCTTCCATATTCTTTTTGAATCCAAGAAAATTTATCCCACCACTCCAACAAAACTGCTGCAGCTAAGCTCACCAGTAACCTTATGTTGTTAAATCCAACTGTCAATTCTTGGTTGTCATCAGCTGTGTTTGACACAAATCCCTCTTTCTTCCTGGAAACACTCCTTCATTCCTTCTTCATTCTCCTTTGCTGTTTTTTTTCTCATTTCCCTAACCTCTAGACACTGTGGTACCCAGGGCTCAGTAGTTTTCTACTCAATAACTCCCTTGGTCATCCTCATGCATTCTCATGACTTTAAATACCATCTGGCATCACCCAAATGTTTATCTCCTGTCCAAACCCAGGTCCTGAACCCCAGATACCTTTATCCAACAAGCTACTTGGAAATATTTCCAACCTACTTGGAAATATTTCCAATATTTCCTGTTGGGTGTTGTGCTAGGTCTCTTGCAGTTACCACTCCAGATTCACTCTCCACCCGTCCCCTCTCTGTTCTGCCCTAGGAGGTTGATCTATATGGATCACAGCTTCAGGCTTCCCTTGCCTTCTGACTTCCAGTAGGTTAAGCTTATGGGGAGCCTTGGCAGGAGAATGAAGGAAAAAAGGAGTCTAAGACCAGAGCACTTATTCCCCTGTCCCTCTCCCTGTAGAGTCACCTTTGCTGGCTACATCTTTAGACCGAAGGTGATTCATCCTCTCAAGGCAAACTTCTCACATGAAGCTCTCCTTCAGAGTTCTGGTAACAGGGGTGGTAACATCTCTGCCTTTACTTGCCCTCCCAATGCTGTACTATCTTTGTGCTTTCCCTCCATGCTACCTGTAACTTTGGAAATTACTCCTTCATTAAAACTTCTTTATAATTATATTGAGTGTACCATCTATTTCCTACAGGATTTTGACTAATACAGATGTCTAACTGGCATCTCAATTTTAACACGTGCAAACTGAGCACCTCCTATAGTTTTATCCATCTCATTTAATGTCAAACCCCTTCTTCTAGCTCTGCAGGCCACAACCTTGGTGTCATCCTTGTGCATCGCTTAATCTCATACCCCACATGTGCAAGTCCGATCTTATACCCTACATTTGCAGTTCTTTCAAAATAGATCGGAAACTCAACCACGTTTCACCACCTCCACCGCTACCACCCCAGCCCCAGCCACCATCAGTACTTGTCTGCATTGCAGTCGGCCCTTCATATCTGCAGGTTCCACATCCGCGGATTCAACCACAGACAGAAATCTGCAGATGCAGAACCCACGGAAACAGAGGGCTAGCTCTACTACACCATTTTATGCAAGGGACTTAAGCATCCACAGATGTTGTTATCCACTGGGGGTCCTGGAACCAAACCCCCATGGATACCAAGGAACAACTGTATTTCAGTAGCCTCACTGGTCTACCTGCTCCCTCCCTCACCAGTCTTCAGGTTATTCCAACTCAGCAGTCAGAATGATCCTGTTAAAACAAGAGTTAGCTATATCACTCTTCTCTTCAAAACCCTCCAGTGGCTGCACATTTCACTCTGAGTAAAAGCCAACATCTTTATAATGGTCTACAAGCCTCCAGGTGATCTGGCCACGTGACGCATCTCTGACCTCACCGCCTACCTGCTCACTTTGCTCCAGCCACGCTGGCCTCTCTGCTATTTCCTTTACTCCTATCTCAAAGCCTTTGAACTTGCTCCCGCCTCTGCCCGGAACATTCTTCCCACAGATACCCTCAATGCCTGCTCCCTCACCTTCCTCAGGTCTTTTATTCAAATGTCATCGTATCGGTAAAACTTTCTCTGGCCACCTTTCTAAAATTGTAAAGGCCCCTGCTCACTTCATTTCTACCCTAAGCAATTATAGCCATTTGACATCTTACATAGTTTCCTTTTCTTTATTCTGTGTCTCCACCCTCTAGAATGTCAACTCCACGAGGCAGGTGTTTGTGTCTGTTGTTTCACTTTTGTATGCTCAGCCTCTGAAACGGTACCTGGAAATGGTGGGTGCTCCAATAATTGAAGGAACCTCAACTAGATACCACTCAATCAATTGGCCACAATAAAAAAATTTTTAAAAAGGGCATCCCTGATGGCACAGTGGTTGAGAGTCCACCTGCCGATGCAGGGGACACGGGTTCGTGCCCTGATCCGGGAAGATCCCACATGCCGCGGAGCGGCTGGGCCTGTGAACCATGGCCGCTGAGCCTGTGCGTCCGGAGCCTGTGCTCCGCAACGGGAGAGGCCACAACAGTGAGAGGCCCGCGTACCGCAAAAGAAAAATGTCTAACAGTGCTACGTATTGGCAAAGACGGCAGACTCTAGGAAGTTCAGCTCATCTCCTCTTTGGAGAGCATTTTGGCAATATCTAGGAAAGTTTACAGTGTGCACGTCTATGATGTTTTTTCTGGGTTGTATATTTATTTATACAAACAATGATAGTATACTAAAAATCAGAATCATTCCAAGGAGTATGGTCAGTGATATTTTTTCTGGGTTGTATATTTATTTATACAAATAAGGACAGTATACTAAAAATCACAATCATTCCAAGGAATATGGTCAGCCTATCTAGAGGATATTCTTAATATTTTATGATCACAGAATGAACTCCACTTCTCAAAAGTAATCCAATATAGCCTACCCCACCATAGAGGAAGAAAGCACAGAAGGTCTTCTCAGGCTTATGCTGTAGTGAAAAGAAAATGATAGATCAGCAGCAGAGTGGGGAAGAAATGTAAGGACATATCAAGATGTGACAGTTGTGATCTCCCAAGAAACTAATCACCGATAAACCACTTAAGAAATCAGTAAGCAAAGACAGACTACAAGAAAAATATACATACAAGACCCAAACCATGCCAGGCTTTAAGTTATAAATAAAACGCTACAATAAATAACCAAAATCATAAGCCAATGTGCATAACTTTTAGATTAGACTAGCATTCTGAATTGCTTTCAAACATTTATGCAGTCCCTTTTATTGCCAGATACCGTCCTAGTAACTTGACTACACAATTGATTCAATTAAATCCACTGGTAGGCAGTCCACATGCTAATTTTATGCACTACTTCAATGTGCCTCCTAAATCTTTTAGTGGAACAGCTGGTAAAAATTGAAACTGAGGAGCCCACATTTTATCCTTCTCCTGTCTTGAAAAAAAAGTGCTTATAAATCCATAACTGGCCAAAATGCAGGTAATGAGAGGGAAACACTCATCTGAGTGGCAAAAAGATGAGCTACCAGTCCCTGAACAATGAGTTGGATGCCATCATCCAAACAAGGGGGTTACGCTATGTGGCGTAAACATAACGACCCCAGGCTGAATCTGCTCTCCTACTCAAATCTAATACTCTCTCCGCTTACCTCTTCGTTTCCTACTCAAAGGGTTTATTCTATTAACTTGGAAGACAATTCATCACTTTATGATACTTAGTTTGGTGCAGACATTCAAAAATACAGGCAGATGAGAAAAAAGAAAGGTACGGCTCAACAGCAACATAAAAGCTGGGGAGAAGAAGAAATTCAAAGCCAACTGTCTGAAAATATTACTTTCACTTTATTTCTCTGTTTCTCATGGCTTCATCCTTTAAATTTTTTTTAACCTGGCAATTTTTTTGAGGTAATTGTAAATTCAGATAGTTATAAGAAATAATACAGCAAGATCTCCTACACAGTTGGCCCCGATGATAACATTTTGCACAACTATAGCATAATATCCCAACCAGGAATTGACATTTGACATAGACAGAATCCACTAATCTTATTCAGATTTCCCCTGTTTTATTTGCACTCACTTTTATGTGTGTGTATATAAGAGTTCGTGTGTCCACCACCACGATCAAGATATTGATCGGTACCAGCACTGCAAGGATCCTTCGTGTTGCCCTTTTAATGAGCACATCCACCTCCCACCCACTCCCCATCCGTAACTCCTGAAAACCAAAAGTCTAGCCACCAGTTATCCTTTGAATTCTTATGCCACACGCTGGTAGGGAATAGCCTTCTATACAACCAGCTCTGGTCCATTTCCTGTTACTACTCTCAGGCTTCACACTGCCGTGCGTTGCTCAACAGAGTCAATCTTAAACAGCTGGTCAGAGAAGGAGTGAGCGTCTCCCCTTGCTGACAGAGAAGACTGTCCAAAACCAACAAAGAAAGTATCAGTATTCAGACACATATGGCTACAATATATGCCTACCCATGTGTACCCATAATATGTACATTCTTGGGTATAAAAGGAAAAAAGAATGTATATTCTAGAAACTTTGTAAAGCTTTGTATAAACTTCAGTACTACTTCCTCTGAAATCAAAGAAAACACTTCTGTTTCTCAGCCTACCCAATTTAGAGGGGCATAGTTTAGCATTTTTCATTCCTATAAAGCCTTTTACCCATTTCAACCAGGACTGAAGTCTTTCTACATCAGTACATGGAAACCCAGATCTCCATTTAAAGAAATGTCACTTTTTCCTTGCCAACCATTAGATACACTGTCCTTTACCTGGATTTAAAATCCAAAGAACAAACAATGAATTTCTAGCTATTAAAATGCTATTTAAAAGGGAACATAAATGCCTGTGCAACTTTCATAGCACTAAGCAGTCCGCACGCAACTGGAATTCATACCTGCAGAGCTGAGGAGAGTGCTGAAATCTGTCCCCCTCTGTGATTCTCCACTTTCATTATCGACCTCTTTTTCAGTATCTTGATATCGATCCCAGTTAGAAACTATCTTCCTTTTAGAATAATTTCCCTGTTCTTCATTCTCTTCTCCATAGGTCTCTGCATCACTGTCACCTTCGACCTGCAATCATTAGAGACAAATCGATAAGCAGGCAGTGGAAATCTTAACCTTAGTAGCCTTAGCAGTAAAAATTTTTAAAAACAAATGAAAACAAAAAAATAGTACACAGGTATCACGATAAAGAGCACATCTTATAAACCAAGCTCTGTGCAAGTATTAAATAATATTTCAAGAGAACCCCACTATATCAGAATGTACTTTCAGTGTAAACTCCTCATTTAGCTGTGAAAAGGAAATCTGATGAGCTCCTACCTAAAATCTGTGTAACTGAATCACTGAAGTCTACCCCCAATGTAACCCTATTTCAAGAGTTGTTTCTTCTTACTGAAATAGTCAAGGTTGTAAGAGTCTTAAATTCAAAAGGCTTTAGGATGGAAATTAGTTCTTCCAATTTACAGATTTTACAAACACATTCCATAAGTATATTTTATAAGCTTTAAATGGGAACCTACTCAGATGCATTCCAGAGAACAGTTTCCAGACCTGGGCATTAAAATGTTAAGACAGCATGCAGAAAAATGCAGAATGTGGGAAATTACAAAAGATAAAGGGTCTAGTTTCTTCAACAAATAAATTGCAAGGGAAAAAAAATGATGGGGGAGGAGGGAGAAACCTATAGATTAAAAGAGCTTAATAACACACCATTGTAAAGCAATTATACTCCAATAAAACTGTTTAAAAAAAAAAGCTTAATGGACACGTAACCATTGTAATGTTGGGAACTTATTTGTACTCTTATTCAAACACTATAACTAGAGAAAATCACTTATAAGACTATTGAAGAAATGAAAAGGCAACCTACAGAATGGGAGAAATATTTGCAAATCATATCTGATACAGCCTCTCTTCCAATAACTGATTTTAAAAGCAACTGTACAAAACAGTATGTGCACAATTATATTTCTATACGTTATAGACCCAACAATACATTTGCCAATAACAGCAAAAAGGACGTGAGTGGGAGCAAAACTGTAGTCTAAGGAAATAACTCTATATGGGGAATACACAAAAACAAATGAAAAAGACTAGAAATAGGAAATAAGAAGGCTCTTGTAACAAAAGCCATAAATATATGCTTACTCTTCTTTCTTCTCTCATATTCTTTAAAAGATATAAAATTATATAAGGCAATAATTATAACAATGTGTTACTGGTTTTGTAACATATGGATGTAATACGTATAACAACAATGCCACAAGAAGAGGAAATGGGGACTGGAGTGTATTGGAGTAATGTTCCTATATCTCATTGGAATTAACTTATCTGATGCAGATTCCAATAAGTTAAAAGGTATATGGTAAGCCCTAGAGCAACCATTAAGGGAATAACTACAAAAAAGTGAAAAAAATCATTAAAGGAATTAAAATGTTACATTAGAAGTATTCACTTGGTGCAAAAGAAAGCAGTAAAGGAGGAACAGAGGAATGATATACATGAGACATGTGGAAAACAGAAAGTAAAATGCAGATACAAATATCCAACTGTATCAATAATAGCATTAAATATGAATAGATTAAACAAAACAATTCAATCAAAAAGGCAGAGACTAGCAGAATAGATTTTTTAAAATCCAACTATATGCTGTCTACACTAGACATGTTAGATTCAAAGATAAAAATATCATTAAAATGAAGTAAGAGGATGGAAAAAGATATCCTATGCAAAACAGTTCGCCAAAGAGATCTAGAGTGGCTACACAAATATCAGACAAAATAGACTTCAAGGCAAAACTGTCCTAAGAGACAAAAAAGGGCATTATACAAGGCAAAAAGGGTCAATCTATCAGAAAGATAACAAATGTAAACACTTAAACATATGTTCCTAAAGATAGAACCCCATAATATATGAAGCAAAAGCTGACAGAATTGAAGGGAAAAATAGTTCAACAATATTTGGAAACTTCAACACCTCATTTTCGATAATGGCTAGAACAACTAGACAAAAGGTACCAATACACACAGCAGAACAAATAAAAATATTTACTCACTGAAGCTGTAGTCCTATTTAACTTACAACAATAATTTACATTAACTTGCAATCAGCTTAATTTAACTGGCCAGCCTATGAACATCATGTTTGGGCAACATTATTTTTTAAATATCCTCTTACCTTTTCTTTCAAAAAAGCAACAGTCTTTAAAGATGTTTATCATTAAGAGCTTGCAGATAAGCCAGTAAAATCTGGGAAGTTACTAATACATAACAGCTAGACAACAGATCCTATTTAAAGCCTTTTATACTCAGGAACCTAGCTTTTGAAGGTCCCTGTTCTACTTTCTTCTGGAGTAAATGGGTGTAGAAAAAGCTTTCCTGCTTTGAACCTAATAAGGAGGTTGAAAATAGTCAATCACACAGTTTTCAACAAACTCGTATGTTTCTCACAAAATGCAATTATACCACAGAAGGGAACAGGTGGGATAGAAAAATATGAAAGAGAACACTTTTAAGGAAACCCTCCTACAGAAAGTAACTGGAAACTGATTTCAGTAATTAAGTAATAAGGTCAAATATATCCAACCAAAAATGTTACACTGTGTATAATTTGAAAATTATATTAATTCATCCTACTATAAAATTTTTAAATGTTATCAAGCTTTAAAATATATCATTAGTTAATAATCTAGTTGCCAACTTTTATATTTTTAACCCTATTAAGGTTATTTTTTTCTCACATAATCATTTGGACCCTAAGCAGCAACTAATACGTCACTACTTTTTATTGACGTGTAGCTGATTTACAATGTTGTGTTAGTTTCAGATGTACAGCAAAGTGATTCAGGTATACCTACATATTTATCTTTTTTTTTCAGATTCTTTTCCCTGATAGGTTATTACAAAATACTGAGTATAGTTCTCTGTGCTATATAGTAGGTCCTTGTTGGGCATCACTATTTTTTTAAATTATGCTTTTAATAAAAAAAAATTCACACGCCATCATGGTTAAAGAGTTCAATGACAGCTTTCGGTATTAGAAAAGTGTGCTAGCAAAAATAACTTTTATATATCATTTCAAGAAGCTAAATTTTAATAAATGATTGAATAAAAATATAGTATATACCTAGTATACAGGTATACTAAGAAGGACATTTCCATTTGTCATTGTGTATTAAATAAAATACACATTACAGCATGATCATACTTGAAAAAATCAGTAAATGCAATACATGGCATATATATATAACAACGTACGTAGTATTTAAGCTCCAAAATACTGTGGCCATTAAGAATGGGAAAAAAAGTGATCCAGACTGTATTCAAATTCAACTGTTTCTCTAGCAAGAGAATTATATACAGCCTCTTTTCTTGTCCCTCCTTGTGATCAGTATATGGGAAAGAAGAGAGGGTGGAGGCATCTGAGAACAGAGAAAATGGTAACCCAGCCCTCAAAGTTCAGTGACACTTCTCCACAGGCCTCCTCACTCACCCCAGTCCTTATATCTTTCTTTCTCAAGTCTTTCTTTCTCACCTGTGTTATTGTTTCAGAGCGTTGCCTAAAATTAGGAGGCATAGAAAGCCAGTTGCCATTTGCTGGCAGCCCATCTAAGACCTTGAGTTTACTGCTTCCATGATTTAAGGGCAGTCTGGGAAATTAGACTGCAGTAACTTTCATTGGGCCAACTGGTGATTTTATTTTTTTTCAAATTTTAACATAATAGCTTTATTGATGTATAATTCACATACCATGCAATTCACCCATTTAGAGTATGTAATTCAATAGTCTTTAGTATATTCACAACATTGTGTAACAATCACCACAATCAATTTTAGGACATTTTCATTACCCCAAAAAGCCTGTACCCATTAACAGTCACTCTCCATTTTCTAGAAAGCCCCAGAAAACCACTAATATACTTTCTGTCGCTATAGATGTGCTTATTCTGGACATTTCCTATAAATGAAATCACTTCTCTGACTGCATTCTTTCACTTAGCATAATGTTCTCAAGGCTCATCCATGTTGTAGTGTGTGTCAGTACTTCATTCCTTTTATTGTTGAATAATATTCCATTGTATGTATATACATTTTATTTATCCATTCATTCCAACTGGTGATTTTAAACTCTACTTTGTGTTTGTCCTTTTATAGAGTCCTTATGGAAAGGAGGGTGGGAGTGGCAACAGAATGAATCAGTTTCGCTTTATCTGCTTTACAACTTGAGCTCTGTGTAAGAATTCAGGCTTAAAAAGGTTTAAAAACTACCAAATTAATCCACCTTGTAAGTCCCAACTCCTAGGTAAAATTCTACGAATTAACATCAACAATTTTTCCAGTAGAGAAGGCACTAAATGCAACTATAAGGAAGACAATTTGCTTCTTGCTGTGGTTATGCTCTAAGTCACACAAATTAACCAGAAAAGCAACTAAGAGGCCTTCAAGTAAGAACCCTGCTTTATCAAAACATTTGACTAAAAGGTTTTACATACACAAAAATAGTCAACCTTCGTATAAAGAGTGCATGTAGACCAAGCATTCCTGGGTAAAGCTCAGTGTACAAAACATATTCCCCTCTATCACAGCCATTGACAGTTTACTCTTCCTAAGAAGGCAAATGGTACTTCAGGTGCACCTACCTCTGTCCCAGGGATTACACTGCATGGGCTTAACACTGGAAATCAGATTTTCTTTTTCTTAGATCGAAGTAGAGTGATGTACAATATTATAAAATTTAAGGTGTACAACACAGTGATTCACAATTTTTAAAGGCTATATCCATTTATAGTTATTATAAAATATTGGCTATATTCCCTGTGCTGTATAACATATCCTTGTTTGTAGCTTATTTATTTAATACACAGTGGTTTGTACCTCTTAAACCCCTACCTCTATCTTGCCCCTCTCCTCTTCCCCCTCCCCGCTAGTTTGTTCTCTATAGGCCAGATTTTCTTTCAACTCTGTCTCAGTTAAATTTTCATCTCACTTCTCTACCAGCACAGGGTTGGTTTCCTTAGTTACTGAGGTTTTAATGTCATCACTTTTCATTTGCAAGAAAAATCACAAACC